TAAATCAAAGTAACTAGCCAATTTGAAAGAGAAGTCTAAACTACATGTAAAACAATAAACAGAAATTATGTCAGGCCACACTCAATATTTATAACAAAAAAATTTATAATAATGCCAGATACTTTCTAAAATGTACGAAAATGCCAGAAACAAACCAACTGTATAAGCTCTTGTATGTTCAAGGTGACTAATTATATTAAAATAACTAGGAATGAGAAAACATGAGAACAAAAATCTAGTGCAATATACTGTGGGCAATAAATTCTGTATTATAGCAATATAAAAACATACATGAAGAATACCAACTACTTAATAATAAGACATTAACTCACAGAACTCATAATTCAGTTATAGAAATCTGATTTTCCAGTTCTCCATCTGAGGGACTGTGAGTGTATTTGGTGCCATCCTTCATCTTGCATCATCTGAGAAACTGAGCTAAGTTGGGCCTCTTTAGTTCTGAGACAGGAGCGTACCTGGGAAATTCAGGTGGAGTATTTATTATGCAATTATTAAGAAGACATAGCTCTGTGCATCCTATCTCTGTCTCCTGACTTGTAAGGGGGTTGTTAGCAGAACTATGTGTATTAGGATTCTGTAAACACTGTGTGTATGTGTTAGGATTCTGTAAACGCTATGTGTGTGTGCGTGTGTGTGTATACGTATACACACACACACACACACAACATATACATATATATATATATACACACACATATCCACACACACATGCACACACACACATACAATGGAAGGAGGCAAACCAAAGTTTGGATTTTCAACAATCCTGTTAAATGAGATCTGTAGGGAGAACGAAAGCTATTGGGGATGTTTCCTTTTTATTTTAACATGCCAGTATTATTTAATTTCTTTTAACATAAGAATATATTTTTTCAGTACTTAAATAAACATGTAAAAATGTTTCAGGGCACTTTGGTAAGCTGGAGAGGATGAATATACGAGGAACAAAGCTGTACCTTCTTATTTCTCTCTTCAGGCTAGAGGTCTCCATAGCCCTCTAGATGTGGTTACTGTCAAACATAGCCCCAGGTGCACCTGCTTAAGAAGAAGGAGGGGGAGGGGTCTAGGGCAGAGGCCCAGATCGTAGTGACATCCATCTGACCCTCTCACAAACATCCCCTTCAAAGCTGTTTTCTGCTCCTGGCTGCATATTCAAGTGTCAGGATGGTTTTCGCAATCTGTACATATTCCTCTGGAAGATGAAAAATCTAGGGACGTTTTCATGTTTATTTCAAGGGAATCTGACAGTCTTGCTGCTAGGTGTATACCAGGGCAGGGTTTGGAGCTTGGAAGGTGGTAGAAGTGATAGGCACCAGGGATCACTCCCTTGGCCTTGGGCCTGGGCTCATGCCAAAGAGTGGGGTTTGAAGCCCGCCTCGGGACGTTCTGGGCCAGAGCTATTCTGATAAAGTTTCTGAGTCTGAGATAAGTCACATGGTGTACTTATCTCTGCCGCCAGCATCTTCACACAGCTGTAAAGGAACATTCAAGGGTCACTTTAGAGGAGAAAGGGGAATAAGGAAGGCAACATACAGTCATAAGCAGGGTGAATGGGCAAGGAAGGGCTGGCAGGCCTAGACCTTGGTGGGAGAGCCTCCTGTGCACTGCAAAGCTGGTTAACATGAACATTGCAATTCTATATAATTTATATAGTGATACTGCTCACCTCTTCCTGACTGCTTCCCTTGTGAGTCACTGATGAACTGCCTGTCTCTTTTCCCTCCATCCAAGTTGGGAAGCACCTCACAAAATCACTGCTCAGCTCTGTGGCCGGTTCTGGCCTGGGCATTTCTTGTTGTCTAGGAACTCAGAGGCCCCTCAGAGGTAATACTAGTGGTTGCTTCCTATGGTTTCCTCCCTGACTCCCTCTGTCATGGGGTTGTAGGAAGAGGACTAGGGCAGCACGGGCCTAATCATCTCTGGGTCCCCATCAGACCTTCTTGATTCACAGAAGTACAGTGCATAATAATTTTCAATGGAAACGCATGGGCATCAGAGTCAGAGAAGTTGAGACTGTGGTATCTAACGCATCACCAACATATTGCTCTCCTGGGTTTAGGCTAGTCTTTAACTCCTGGGTCTCAGGCTCCCAGAGTGCCCATCCCCATATATGGTCCTTGTGCAAGGGTCAATGAGGCAGCCCATGTCAATTGCCAGATCTAGTGCCTGCCATAGAATGTGTGCTCCTCGGAGTAGAACTCTGGACATCTCCTCCTGGATTAGGGTCTAGACCTGGTAAGTAGAGATGGATACTTGCACCGCTGCCCCAGGCAAGTCCACCTTCTACCCTGAGCTCCGAATGAGCAGGATGGCCAGAAGCCTACCTCTGACATTTCCTGTCCCTTCATTCCAGCCACTGAACATTTATGGAGCACCTAGTAAGTGCTTTCAGATGTAGAAGATGGAAGGATGAATGAGAGAGGGTCCCTGCTTGGCCTCTAGGGCCTCCTCAACCAGTGGGGGAGCTCATATCCCAGGATAGTCCAAGGGTTCATATTCCCTCCTACCTGTTCTTTGCCCTGCTCACCCTCTCAGCACTGCGATCCCCCTCCTCTCCCTACTTGGACCTTGGCCTTGTTTCTCTCCTCTTTCTCAGCTTCTCACTTCCATGGATGCCCTTTCAATTCTATTGTAAAAGAACTGGGTAGGGTTTAAAATTTTTATTTTGCCATTTATTACAATGGAAACTATTCATGATCGGACATAGAACTGGACAATTTGAAGAGTATTTCTGAACACTTTGTGCAGCCACCACTTCTAATTTTTCCCTTAACATCTGTACCCTGTGAGATTTTTTCATCCACCAAATATTTATGGAGCTTCTACCATGGGCCAGGCACTTTTCTTGCATTAGGGATAGAGCAACCAACAAAGCAAAGTCTCTGTCCACACAGACTTACATTCTAAAGTGGAGGCAGACCAAAAAACAAAGTGCTGTATGATATGATGGCTGCTGGTATGATAAATGCTACGTAGAGGAATGAAGCAAGGTAAGGGGTTAGAGATTACTGGCAGAGAGTGGGGTGCTCTGATAGATGAGGTCGTTAGGAAAGTTCTCTTGGAAAACTGGGAGAAGGAGTCAGGCAGTTAAATGAGGAGAGAGCCTTGCAAGGCAGAAAGGATAGAAAGTACAAAGATCCTGAGGACAGAGCTACTTGATGTGTGTGAGTATCAGCAAGGAGGACAATGTGATTAGAGCAGAGCAGAAACTGGGAGGAGGCATAGGAGATGAGGCAGGGCCTGCTAGGCCATTACCAAGACTTTGGTTTTTATTTTGAGTGAGAGGGGAAAACTATTGGAGGTTTTTGAGTAGGGGGAGTGAAGTGATTTAACTTTTGTTTTAAAGGATTCCTGTGCCTGCTCTGGGGAATATATACACTATAGGAAGAGAAGAGAGGAAGCCAAGTGATTAGTTGCAACAGTCTGTCAGAAAGGAGGGCTGGGAGCAGGGTGGTATTGGTAGAAGTAACAAGAAGTGACTCAATTCGGGATATATTTTATTTTATTTATTTATTTATTTTTTCTGTGGTACGCAGGCCTCTCACTATCGTGGCCTTTCCCGTTGCGGACCACAGGCTCCGGACACGCAGGCTCAGCCTGAGCCTGGCTCACGGGCCCAGCCGCTCCGCAGCATGTGGGATCTTCCCGGACTGGGGCACGAACCTGCATCCCCTGCATTGGCAGGCGGACTCCCAACCACTGCGCCACCAGGGAAGCCCCGGGATATATTTTAAAAGGAGAGCCAACAGAATATGTTGGCCCTAAGGTCCTCATTCCGACTCATTTGTCAACTATTTTAATAATAACATTCAAAGTAGAAAACTAAAACCATTTTAAAAACACAAGTGTTCATTGTTAAGCAAAGAATAATACCCAGTAGTCAAGGAACACTAACATTAGGACAGGAAATAGAGTCAAAGACAGGATGCTAAATTTTGCAGAACTTTTTACACTTTGCTATTTACAAAATTAATTTTAAACAAAGGGATAGAGGTACACAATATTATTTTCCAACTAAAGAGGAATCCCTGTTTAAATATTGTTTTGTCATGAAAGACAGGACCCCTATATATATGGAATCCAAAAAAAAATGGTTCTGACGAACCTAGGGGCAGGACAGGAATAAAGACGCAGATGTAGAGAAGGGACTTGAGGACACGGGGAGAGGGAAGGGTAAGCTGAGACGAAGTGAGAGAGTGGCATGGACATATATACACTACCAAATGTAAAATAGATAGCTAGTGGGAAGCAGCCACATAGCACAGGGAGATCAGCTCGGTGCTTTGTGACCACCTAGAGGGGTGGGATAGGGAGGGTGGGAGGGAGATGCAAGAGGGAGGGGATATGGGGATATATGTATACATACAGCTGATTCACTTTGTTATAAAGCAGAATCTAACACTGTAAAGCAATTATACTCCAATAAAGATGTTAAAGAAAAAAAAAAAGGACAGGACCCCTGAGGATCTTTCATAACTCTTAAAGGATGTGACTCCCGTGGTGCAGCCAGCACTGCTAATAGTTCTTTGGGTGAGGGAGATTTAAATAAGCAAAAAATGTGTTAAAACCACGCAAACGGAATCTGGTGGCCACAGACCCACCTAAAACACTGAATTGTATGAGTCGGCTGGGTTGAAGGGTAGTTGAGCCTTTAAACTTGAGCAGGTTGAGCCTCTCAGAGATGGGTCTTCAGCGCTCGCTCGGTCCTGGCTAAGGCCGGGCTCACATCCAGGACTGGGTCTCTGCCCACCGCCCTCATCCACCGGCCTGGAGACCCACACGCTCGCAGTCCGTGACCCAGCCCGCGCCACCCCGGCCCCGCCCCCTGCCTTCCCGGGCGCCCGCCCCCCTCTAACCGGGCGGCGCCGGCGCGCCGGCCGTCAGAGCGGCTGTGTGGGCGGAGCTTGCGTAGCCGCCGGGACCCCTGCGTGCACCGCCTCTCGCCCCTAGCCACCGGGCGCCACCGCGGACACGCACTTCCTGCGAGGCCTCCGTGCGCACTTTAGGCGAGCCGAACCGAGCTGAACCCTGCCCTGCACTTGCGAGCTGTTCGCCATGGTGGACGAGCTGGTGCTGCTGCTGCATGCGCTCCTGATGCGGCACCGCGCCTTGAGCATCGAGAACAGCCAGCTCATGGAACAGCTGCGGCTACTGGTGTGCGAGAGGGCCACCCTACTGCGCCAGGTACGTCCGCCGAGCTGTCCGGTGCCCTTCCCCGAAACGTTTGACGGCGAGAGCTCCCGGCTCCCCGAGTTTATCGTGCAGACGGCGTCTTACATGCTTGTCAACGAGAACCGATTCTGCAACGACGCCATGAAGGTGGCATTCCTAATCAGCCTGCTCATCGGGGAAGCTGAGGAGTGGGTGGTGCCCTACATTGAGATGGATAGCCCCATCCTAGGTGATTACCGGGCCTTCCTCGATGAGATGAAACAGTGTTTTGGCTGGGATGACGACGAAGACGACGACGACGAAGATGAAGATGATGATTACTAGGCCCGGAGACCCTCGGGCCTAGGGGGGAGGGCCCTGCACGCCGCCACCTCTCCCCTCTCCGCCTTGTCCCGCCCGGAGCCGCCGCGCTCCCCTAGCGCTCCCATCCCCTTCCCTACCTCTGCCTCTGGTTGTCTTCCTCCTCCCCCCTCCTCCCCGTAGTGCTTGTCTTTGTTCCGGGGATAGTGCTCCAGTTACCTGCTGCTGAGGCTGGGGCCTCTCTCTGAAGTGCGCTGCCTCCCACTCTGGCCAGCCCCAGGACCCTCTCCTGCTGACTTGAACTGTGTTCTGAGCCCCAACTCTAGGCCAGGCCCCTGTTACCAACTGGACGGACTATGCACAGCTGTGCCGCACAGCCCTGCCAACTCTCAGGCCTACATCTTGCCCAGAGACCTACGCTGCCACCTAAGCACCCTCCACCACATTACAGCGACAGACCAGGCCTTTGGAGATAAGGAGCAACCTAGAAGATGCCTTAGTTGGCTACACCTCCTGGGACACTGGTTTGGACTGCTCACCAACTTCCCCCAAGGGGCTAATCTTTCAAGCTGGTTAGTTCCCTGCTAACGCCCAAGGTCTTCTCCTGCCTCACCAGATTGCTGCAGGAGCCTGTTGTGCCTGGCAGCCAAATTGTTGACATTTCTCCTATGCACCAGTTTTGCACAACTGTCATTTATCTTTCAAAATTGCAGCAATCCCACAGATGTGTGCATTTGGACAAAAATACTAAAAACAAAACTACAAACAAAAGCAGGCACTCAGCCCAGCTCCTCAGTACTACCTGGAAAAAGCATTTACATTCTTTTCAATAAATATCAAGCACTACGATAAAAGAGTCTCTTTTAATGGTTAAGGGCTGTCATTGGCCTCTGCCACTCACCCTGACTCCCATATTCTCATTGATATCAGGGAACCTAATTCAATCCCAGTATTCCCCACTGTCATGTGTAGGCTACAGGGGACAGCTAACATAGGGCTTTATGGGGAATCTGGTACTCCCCTCACCAAAGCATTTCTTGCAGCCCTGGTGAAGGGAGTGTCCTCTGGGGCTTCCAAATGACATGGGTAAGGTGTGGCTGAGCAGGTGGCACACCATCCCAAACTGGGACACTTTTGAGAGAGCTTAAAGGGGACACTATTAATTATTAGACTGGGACAGCAGGCATAAATCAGGACACACAATATTCCTGTCTTCCTGAGCTTTTGGGTTCTTCCTCAACACGGCAACTTCTGCCCCTTAACCCTTAGTGCCTGTGGGGTGCTATTGAGTTCAGGCTTCATTTAACAACGTAGCACATTGTTTTAATACCCCTTCTAGGTGCTTGAGGTAACATTAAATCCTAGATCCTGGGTAAATGCACCCATAATAACTGGAGCCTGATTTGAACATTTCATCTTCCTTGGGCAGATACCCTTAGAATCACCACCCATCCATGTGCCCGAGATTCCTGCCTGTAGAAATTGACAAGATGCCTGGCTATCTCCTGAACTAGATCTTATACTGCTATCTGAGCTATGCTGAGATTTCTTTGTGGGCCTGGAGGGCTCGGAGGCACTAAGGGAGTGGGGTGAGTGCTGAGAAGAATCTGCATACCTTTGTGAGGCAGTTACCCCAGGTTAAGTCACTGAAATGTTAAATCAGGGAAGCTCGGTTAGGGGATTTGTGGGGCCTATCTCTGCCAGCCAGGAGCTGTTAGGAGTATTTGGGAGGTTCCAAGTTCTCATTCTTACCTCTATCTGCCCCCATGTCTTTATTGTACCACATCTGGAGCCAGCTCTACCTTAGAACCTCTAATTAATTTAGGTAATAAATTGTCTTGTTGTTTAAGACCTTTTGAGTCGAGGTGTTCTTTTATTTGTATTGTGACGTAAACCTCACATTGTGGGTTAAATGAGATACTGGTCATCATACCGGGTACTTCAGAGGTGTGGATTCAATGAGATCACACCCATGAGGTATTTTGAACTGTCCCTGCTGCGTGATGAGCACTCAGTAAACATGGACTGGGAACCGAAGCATCATTCCAGAAACAGGTCTCTTGCTATGACCTTGGCCTTAGGAAAATGTCAGGAGTCAATAGGAGCAGAGCAGGCTCAGGAAGAGTGGAAATGAGAGCATGACAGGACCTCATTTGCTCTTTGGGATCTGACATGAAGTCAGATAGAAAGCCGGTTTACTAAGTGAACAGGCAAAGTCCAGAGCAGGAGTCATTTTTCCAGTCTAGGAAAGTTGTTTCTGGAGGGTGGGACAGGGGTAGATATGATGTAGCAAAGGAGGTTGAGGTCCATACTGGGGGTGGATCTGGGCAAGTAGTGGGCAAGTGCTGAAAGCTAGGTGAGACCCACTGAGACCAAATATCAGTCATTCAAAATGATCAGTGGTCCAGGTAGACTTAGAGGAGTTAGAGATACGGTGGTCAAAGAAAAGTGGTTCTTGCCCTCATGGTCATTCCAGTTTGTTGCTTTTACGGTGCCTTGGGCCAGAATTGGGATGATACCTTGCTACAGGTAAGGTCCAGAAAGAGAATCTAGACTGTGATTAGATTTGAGAGTGACCTTTCCAAGGTGGAAGTTGAAGCCATGAATAGATGAGATCTACTCCCCACCACCAAACCAAGTGTGTGCATGCTCTGTGCAGAAGGAAGGGGTTTCTGGTCAGTGAAGATGCCAATGCAGCACCTGAGTAGCACTCATGACAGCTAGGCCAAGAGCTTCTGGAATCTGAAACGTACATGTCCTGGGCTTGTATGCACATGCCTGAGCTGACTCAGTGTGTGTGTGTGTGTGTGTGTGTGTGTGTGTGTGTGTGTGTGTGTGTGTGTGTGTTTGTGTCCAAATTTTCTCATTTTATAAGGATACAATCATATTGATATGGGGTCTCACTCTACTTCAGTATGACCTCATCTTAACCGGAGAGCGGTTTATGCTGTGAGCTACAGAGGACAGTGTTAAGAATCTGGCTACCTTGGCAGATTCTGCAATAAAAGCACAGATAGTGGCAAGGGCTTTACCACCACAGGAGGAATTCATGGTGGTGTGATAGTGGCATAAGGCACAGCAGAAGAGAATTGGAGAAGTAAATAAGCATATCTGAAGATAAAATCACCACTCAAATGAAAACTATTAAAAGTAGGTGAAAATGTTGAAATAGCAAATATGAACTTCAGACTCCTGAATTCCCATCACACTGGACTTGAAACGGTCACTGAAGTTGTGCTATTAATGAAATGAAATTAATCATATTGAAGGTCATAATCATTTAATCCTATTAAATCTTCCAATGTATGTTTGGATTTCTCTAATCACTTGAATAGGTAAGTAGTGCCATCCATTAATTCTGTGTTGCTGTGTTTTGCCGGATGATATATTAAGCTAGAGGTACATGATGCACATTGTGTTTGGTTATTTTCTGCTATTACAACATAGTGAAAACCTTAGCAATTTGGAAGTAGAGGGAGATGTGTTGTTAAAATCAGTGGAATATTTATTTTTTAACAAATGAATTTAAACAATTTTTAAAGTTCTTAAAGCACTTAAAGCTAATAAAAGGGTATCAGTTCACGGTCCTGAGAATGTTTTCTTTGATGGATGATCAGTGTGGGGTAGTTGTATGAAGTATATATATTATTTGCTTTGAAATATGAATTTTGCTAAAGTAGCATTAAAAGTGTCTGGTAGTTTGCATTACTCAGTAGTTCAAGTATATTCCCTACAGTCTTATGCCCACTTAGTCCTAAAGGTAGATACAATCAACTATGTTTGGTGTCCTTCGACAGTGCTGGTGGCCCCCTACTTCTTACTTCTGATCATCCCCCTTGCATTTTTTTCCCTCCTGTCTGAAATGCCTCTGTTAGGATTTGTTCATTTATCTTCAAATATTCTATTGTCCAGAGACTTTAAAAAAAAATGCAGTTAGCCTGTGATGGGTAATAGCTTGCTTGAAGTATTTATTAACAGCAGAGCAAGATTTGTTAGAGGAGCAAAAGCCCTGCCCCGGATTAGTTGGGTGGGGGAGTGGTGGTGAGATGCTGCAACATTTGTGTACCTCCTGGTATCGGAGCTATGATCAATAACAAATTAATTTTTCTTATGATTATATCCACAATATTTTCATATCTTCTCTTCCCCTGCCCTAAATGACAAAGGATTTCATGCACAGAATTGCAATAACATAATTCTATTTTAGCCAAAGTCCCTATACAGTCAGTTCAAATGACCAGTTAGTTCAGAGTCAACCAGTCAGCTCAAGATAAAAAACTGTCACAAGACTGTTTATATGCCTCATTTAAAATTGTTACTTAAAAAAAAAATCATACCAGTAAAAGAAAGCAAAAGGAATTATATTTCAGTGGTAACTGAAGTAATTGGGATATTTCTGATTTATTTGTTCTCTAGACACAGAAAATTGCACTGCCATACAGGACTTTTAGAACTGCTCATTTGAATGTACACAAATTTTTAACATGTTCATAAGTAGGGAGAATAATATAGTGAGTCCTCATAGACCCATCTCCAGATTCAAAACTTACCAACATTTTTGCTTCACCTATCCCTTTTCTTTCTTATAATTTTTATGGAATATTTAAAATCAAATCCCAGATATCATATTAATTCACCCTTTAATATTTCAGTATGTTTCTCTAACAGATAAGGCTTTAAAAACAATCCATAATATCATCATTGTATGTACTAAAATACGATGACTCCTTAATGTTTAATACTCAATCCATATTCAGATATCCCCAGTGTCTTAAAATTGTGTTTTTAATTATTTGTTTGAATTAGGTTTCAAAAATGTTGACACACTGCTTTTGGTTTATATATCTCTAAAACCTTCTTTTAACTAAAAACAATTGCCCTCCATCCTTTTTCCCCTACAAATTATTTGTTGAGGAAACCAGGTCATTTGTCCTATGGAATTTCCTATATTCCGGATTTTTTTTTTTTTTTTTTTGCGGTACGCGGGCCTCTCACTGTTGTGGCCTCTTCCATTGCGGAGCACAGGCTCCGGACGTGCAGGCTCAGCGGCCACGGCTCACGGGCCCAGCCACTCCGCGGCATGTGGGATCTTCCCGGACCAGGGCATGAACCCACGTCCCCTGCATCGGCAGGCGGACCCTCAACCACTGCGCCACCAGGGAAGCCCTAGAGGCTCTTTATTTATTAGGGATCTGTGATATTTATTGCATATATTTACTTATTTTAACTTTTTGGCCATACCGTACAGCATGTGGGGTCTTAGTTCCCAGACCAGGGATGAACCCCTGCCCCCTGCAGTGGAAGCATGGAGTCCTAACCACTGGACTGCCAGGGAAATCCCTTATGTTGCAAATATTTATGCCCAGTCTATCATTGGCCTTTTTATTTTCTTTATGGTATTGATATTTCAGGCTGTTGTGAAAATGTTTAATATATTTCCATTTTTTCCAGTATCCTCCCATTTCTGTGCTCCCCAATTTATTTGGTTATATTCTTTCTCTTAGTGTTTATACCTTTAAATCGTGTATATACCTCTATTATTTTTCAGATACGAGTGATCTGTTTTGACTCTCAGCCATGAAAGATGAGGAACTCAACATATACACTAATACTATTTCCCTATCAGCTTTGTAAGTTACATTGCTTCTGTGTTGTCAGTGTTTGTAACAGTTACATGTTTTTCCCCCTGAACATAATCCCTGCATGTGTTTCTATTTTAATATATCAGACAAATGAATTTAATAATAACTACCTTGTCCAATTTTCATTCATTGTTTTTTTGTTAGCTAGTTTCTTTTTTCCATATTTTGTTGTTTCTTCAAAAGGAAAAAAATTCCCGTAAAACTC